GGTCGCCTGCCCAGGGTCACCAAGTGTGTGATGGCAGCACTGCAATGGGAACCCAGGCCAAGGCACTGTGGGCACGCGCTGGGTGAGGGAGTGTTGAGTACAGACAAGACGGGCCTCCCCTGCCAGCCCCCCAGGCCCGCTCACCGTCTCGTAGTCCCGCAGTGCGGCCCGGAACTTGCCCAGTGCCATGTTGCTGGCGGCCCGGCGGTAGTAGCCCTTGATGTACTTCTTGTCAATCTCAATGGCCCGCGTGGCGTCGCCCAGCGCATAGCCGTAGCACTCGGTGCGCAGGTAGGCCAGGCTGCGGTTGCCGTAGTAGATGGCATTGCTGGGGTTCAGCTCGATGGCCTGGCTGTAGAACTTGATGGCGTTCTCGTAGTCCTTGGCTATGGGGACAGAGGAGGAGGACGATGAGGCAGCGAGAACAGGCCCTCGGCTGGGCACTGGCCCAGGGCGCTGCTGTGCAGACAGGAACCCAAGCACACAACTGAGCGTGGAAAGGCTCCGCGGCCTGCCCCTTCTCTGTCCCCACCAGCCCAGCCCAGCCCCGGCCGTGTCCCCTCTGCAGTCTCCAGGACCTGCCCTGACCCCACCTGTCCAGCCACCCAATCACCCATGCCGCACGGCCCCAAGCCGGACACGCCTTCTGGTGGGCTTACTGGACCCGCGATGGGCGTGGCAGTGAGTGCCTGGGCTGGGATCCCAATCAGGCGAGCCTGAGTCTGTCCTGAGCAGCCTGGTTGTCCAGCTCCCCTAAGCAAGTAAACTCGCTCCGCGGGGGCCAGCGGGGAGAACAGGAAGTGGGAAAGCAGAAGGAATGTACTCAGGCTTCAAGGAGAAGAGCACATATCAACAGAGAGCCAGAGGAGTGCCACGCCAGGAGCAGGCGCTCCGCACACGGGAACAGCAGGTGCAGAAGCCCTGTGGTAGGGGCGAGCCGTATGCTTGAGCGCCAGTGAGCAACTGGTGTGGCGAAGGTGGCGGGAGCGGGGGGGGCTGACGGGAACGACCCCCCGACTCTGGCTGCCACACTGGGGTCTGAACACTGATGTTCTAAGGTAGAGCGACAGGGTACAACATCTAGCCAAGGTCAAAATGTGTAAGTTATTTTTTCCTCCCCAGTGAGTCCAGCTGTGCCCTGCACTCTACATCCTGGCCAGGAACCTCCATATCTCATGGTATAAGAGCCATGTGGAGCTCACTTTACAAACCAACCACAGAAGCCCTGCTCAAGGTCAAACACCCGGGACCGGCGCTGTGGCACAGCAGGTAAAGCCACTGCCTGCAGTGCCAGCATCCCATATGGGCACTGGTTTGAGTCCCAGCTGCTCCACTTCCAGCCCAGCTCCCTGCTATGGCCTGGGAAAGCAGTGGAAGTGGCCCAAGTTCTTGGGCCCTTGTACCCGCGTGGGAGACCCGGAAGTAGCTCCTGGCTCCTGGCTTCAGATTGGCTCAGCTCCGGCCATTGCAGCCATCTGGGGAGTGAACCAGCAGATGGAAGACCTCTCTCTCTCTCTCTTTCTGCCCTTCAAAAATAAATAAATAAATAAATCTTAAAAAAAAAAAAAAGGTCAAATACCCAAATCTGTTCCCGCAGACCCCAGCTTGATCGCACCCTTTGCCCGTGCGACACCTGGCCTGGGACGGGAGGCCCGCCCCGCCCTCGCCACAGACCAGGGTCTCCGTCTGTCTGCCCATCCCGTCTCCCCGATCTGAGCCCCAGACGCCTGCCTTGCCTTTCTGGGCTCACAGTCAGGGACAGGAGACAGAGCCTCCCAGACAGCCCAGAGGGGACACCAGGGCCGAGACCCGAGGAGGAGTGAGTGGGGTGAGCAGAGCGGAAGGAGAGGTCGCAGGATGCAGCCAGGAACACAGCGACAAGGCTAACTCCCGCAAGCCTTCCAACGGCTCAGAAGTCCCCTCCAGGAAGCCCTCCTGGACCCGTGAGAGCCAGGCGCTCCCTGTGGGCTGCCACGGCCAGGTGACGAGCGTGTCCCCTCAGGTGTGTGAGGCCTGCACCGGCAGAGGCAGGCAGCCTGGCTTTGCCCCCCATGCCAGCGCCTTCGAGGACTCCCTCCAGGCCCTGGCTGCGTTCCTGGGGCCGGCCAACGGCGCTCTTGACTGGAGAGGTGTCCCAGCCTGCCTTCCGAGCCCCAGGAACCCCAGCGGGCGCGGCGGCCTTGCTGTGCAGGTGCCACGAACTTGCGGAGCCCAAGTGGCCGCTGCAGAGGAAGCCAGAGTGTACAGGAAGTGAACGAGCGGATGACTCAACGCGGGGCAGAGGCGCCGGGGGGCGGGTCCCCCACACGCCACACCCGGCCGCCACGCTCGTGCCTCACAAGTCTGAGCCCCCAGACAGCTCCCATCTTAGAGATGGGGAAACGGAGCTGCGGCGACGCGAGGGGTCCCCCAGGCCAAGCAGCCTCCCCGCGAGCTAGGGGTTCCGCGACATCCCTGTCCCCACTCTACAGGACGGGGACACTGAGGCCCATGGGAAGAGGAGAGTGGAGTCCCGTCCTGGACGGGGCCGGGCACTGGGTGCTGCCCTCCAGGACTTCTGGGGTGGGCCCTGAGCTCACGGAGGAACGTGGGGGGGGGGGTCCCCGCCAGGGCCAGCCTGGCTCTGGAAAAGGGCTCCACGCTGAGTGCCGAGCAGGTGGGAGGAAGGGGATATCCGGCCGCCCTCACCCGCCCTGACCTTGGGCGAGCGGTTTCGCTTCCTCTATAAAAGGAACAAGGCTGCTCCTACCCAGTGCGCACGCGGTGCCCAGGGAGGATCAGGCCCGTGCCGGCCCGGCCACCGCCACCGCCAGCGCGCGGGGGCTCAATTACAGCAAGCGGTAATTACGCCTTTTACTGTTATTCCCACAGCCCAGGAGCCTGGGGCTCTGTGCCTGCCACCGCCTGCCAGACAGCGAGAGCCCTGCACCGGGAGCGCTCGCCTCTGTGCGCGGGGCCTGGCTTCCCGGAACTCACCTGGCCTCGGCAGAGCTCAGGGTGCCTGCACAGCCCGGGCCTCCACCTGCCCCTCCTGCCTGGGGCGCCCGCCCCTCGCCCGCCGGCCCTCGCTCCTGGACTCAGCTTCCCCCCTCGCCCGCCGGCCCTCGCTCCTGGACTCAGCTTCCCCCCTCGCCCGCCGGCCCTCACTCCTGGACTCAGCTTGCAGCCTGCCAAGCCCAATGGCCCCCCACACCCTCTCCTTCCCTGGAGTCCGTGGCAGCTGGCGGGCTTTCCCAAAGCCAATCAGCCCACGGCACTGTGCTCTCGGAACCTCCGTGGCTCCCCGCAGCCGGAGGACGGCCCCCACAGTCCCCAGCCGGGGACTTGAACTCGCCGCCAGCTCTCCGCACCCCACCCTCTCCCTCCGGCAGAATCCACTCACACGGGGCCACCCTCCAGCCCCCTCCAGCTCTGACACAAGCAGCACCCCCGCCCCTTCAGAACCAAGACACAGGCCAACGTCTGCTGCCTCACTCCCTCGCCCCTCCCGCGGCCCCCTAGCTGGCCACTCCACCGGTCCCAGCAGCTGCCCTCCTGGCTATCACAGGCCTCATGGAGTCTGAGCCGACTGACGGTCAGCGCTCAGGGCCGGCCCAGGCAGTGTCCGGGGCCCGACCCCTCCTAGGAGAGTTCTCTCTGATTTCCCCGCTCCCTCTCCACGGCGCCAGCCCCTCCTCCTCCCCAGGGTCCCACCCCAGGGCTTCCCCAGACCCTCCTCCTAGGTGACCTCACCCACCCCCGGGGCCTTTCCAGCCACAACCACGCCCAGATCTGGCCATCAATCCACTCAAGTGTCCCTTCCCAGACTTCTGCCTGACCCGGGCCCTGTCCTAACCTCCCCTCCTGTCGGTCTCCCCGGCTAACTCCAGCCACACGGGCCTTTCGCTCCCCCACCCCAGGGCCTTTGCACGTGTCACTGCCCCTGCACACAACACCCTCTCCCTCAAACTGCCTGCTTCCCACCCCGTATAGGGCCGTCTTCAACTCCCTGCCCTGCTGGGCTTCTCCCAGGGCCCCCGTCAGCAAAGTAAGCACGGGATTTATTCGCGTTTTTCATTCGGTGTCTGCATTGCCCGGGTCAGTTACAAGCGGGGCCACACGGGGCCTAGGCCAGCCCTCCGCACACAACACGTGCTCAGCAAACACGGAATGAATGAATGAACGGACACCTGCCCCCACTTCTCCCCCAAAGGCAAGCTCTTCTAACGGCTCCCCCCACCCCAACCCCCACCCCACCCCACCCCCACGTCCCCGTCTCTCCGACCACCGCTCATCCCCGCTTCCCTCACCCCTCCCCATCCACCGACCCGCTCCCCTCCCCCACAGCCCCTTCCCCACTGGGCTGTCTCGCCCCCACACCCCTCGGCGGCACCCACCCCGGGCCTCCCCACCCCGGGCGGCGCCATCACTGCCCTGCCACCCAGTCCCACGCGGTAGCGCCCCCTGCAGGTGCGCCTCCTGCCCGCACCGGGCAGCGCTCACCTCAGTCTACCCGCCCGGTACGCCACGTCTAGGTATTTCCCAGCCTTCCCTCGGAGGCCCCGCCGCGTCGCCCCCTGGAAGCGCCATCCCGAGCCGCCCCACGCCCGCCGGCCGGGTCGCGCCGGCCCCGCGCCCAGGCTGCCGCTCCGCGTTGCCATGGTTCCGCGCGGGCCCGGCACCCCTCGGCCCGGGCCGCTGTCCACCCTCCCTCGCCCTGTCCGGCGCGGGCGCACCTTTGAAGTAGTCGTTGGCCTGCGTCTTGAGCTCCTCTGCCCGCTTCAGCGCGCCATCAGCCGGGGGCTCGTCCCGGGGGGGCTCAGCACACTCAGTCCGCTCGCCCTCCGCCATCGCCATGCCGCAAAGCGACCCCCACCCTGGCAACGGCCGCCCGCGGCACCCGGCCGAACCGTCGCGAAGGAGAGCCGAGTGGCCGCCGCCGCTGCCGCACAAGTGTCGTAAAGCGCGGGCCCCAAAGGCGCCCTCTGCGCGCCTGCGCAGGGGCCCCCCTCGCCATAGAGCGCGCGGAGGACAAGGTGACCAGAGGGTCCCCCGGCAGCGCCCTTCGTAGAAGCAGCCAATAGGGGAGGAGAAGCGGGAGCGCGCGGGGAATAAAGGCCCGGCGTCGCCCCCTGCTCCCGGCGTGAACGCGTTCCGAGCCCACCAAACTTTCCGGGTCCTTGCAGTGGGCTTTCCCTGGGGGACGGGGGGCGGGGGTGTGGCTGCCCCGCGGCTCACGCAGAGCCGGGGCTGGGCGGCACGGGCACCTGGGTGACCTTGAGCGCCTCGGCCCGGATCTTGACCGCAGTTGCCCCTCTCGGAGGTCGGTGGGTGGCTTCCCCGCGTCCCATGGCCGCGGGTCCGGTGTTCCCAGGTTTCGGGCGGGGTCCGCAGGTCGTGAGCGCCGCCCTCCCCCACCCCCGGGCTGCGGCTCTCCGGATGCTGCCACGTCTCCAGGGGCTCTCCTGGTGGTCTCCTGCCCGGACCCCGGCCTCGGCCTCTCTCCGATTTCTCTCCCCGTGGAGAGGGTCTCCAGAGCGGTTGTCTGCACACTGGCTCTGTCGCATCCTTGCAGTCTGACCCCACCTCTCTTACCCCCACCCCCGCCAGGACCCCCAGTCGCCCTGTTAAGGCGGGGGGGGGGGGATATTAGCCTTATCTCCCATCTCCGCCTTGGATGTGGTCGCTGAGGTTTGCAGGGGTCTGTGTACCTGCGTGCACCTGTCCCACCTAATGCCTGCGCTTTTTTTTTTTTTTTTTTTTTAAGACTTATTTCCTCGGTAGGCAGAGTGGACAGAAGGAGAAACAGAGCTCTTTCGTCTGCTGGGTCACTCCCCAAGGACTGGATCAGGCCGAAGCCAGGAGCCCAGAACTCCATCCTGGAGCTACTGCTGTGCGGGTAGCAGGGGCCCCGGTACCTGGGCCATCCTCCCAGGCCCCTTCTCTCAGACCACCACAAAACTCCTCCTTGGGCCTTACCCCTCCCAATCCACGGACGGTTCCCCTCCCCCGCAGGGAGCTGACTCGGAAGCCGGGGCTGCACTAGGGGCCAGGGGCCCACAGCAGTGTCACCCGCTGTGCCACATGTCAGCCTCATTCCCCTGCTGCCTCTGTGTGCCAGAACCGGCCCTGTGGCTTTGATTTTTTTTTTCTTGTTTTTTTCTTTGAGAGGTGGGGAGGAAGCTTCTGCGATGGATTTGAATCCTGGATTTAAGTCCGGTTGGGCCCTTTCCCGGCCGCGTGGCCTCGGGAAGTGAGCCTCACTACCATCCTCTGGAAAGTGGGGATGATTTCCGTTTCCAGCTCAGGGGATTGGAAGATCTCACGGGGGCCAGGCATGGAGTAAGTGCGTTTTATATTCTGTTCTTTTTTTTTTTTTTGACAGGCAGAGTGGACAGTGAGAGAGAGAGAGACAGAGAGAAAGGTCTTCCTTTGCCGTTGGTTCACCCTCCAATGGCCGCCGCGGCCGGCGCGCTGCGGCCAGTGCACCGCGCTGATCCGATGGCAGGAGCCAGGAGCCAGGTGCTTTTCCTGGTCTCCCATGGGGTGCAGGGCCCAAGCACTTGGGCCATCCTCCACTGCACTCCTGGGCCACAGCAGAGAGCTGGCCTGGAAGAGGGGCAACCGGGACAGAATCTGGCGCCCCGACCGGGACTAGAACCTGGTGTGCCAGCGCCACAAGGCGGAGGATTAGCCTAGCGAGCCGCGGCGCCGGCTTATATTCTGTTCTTACAGGTGCTCAGAGCGGGGCAGAATACCTCGGGCTGCAGTGAGGGGGGAGGGGCTTTGAGGGGAGATTATTCTGGAAGGGCCTCATTCCAGCTGAGGGCTTCCTGGAGGGGGGGCGATCTGAACAAGACCTGATGTAAGGAGAGGGAGGGAGGAACGAGGCATCCAAGGCAAAGGTTTGAGCTGAAAAGATTCTGTGTGGCACCCAGGAGCCGGGTGACAGCACAGACACTCCTCCCACACGGGAGTCTGCAGACACAGCCTCCCTCTCAGGCACACACACACACCTCTTTTTTTTTTTTTTTTTTTTTAAGATTTATTTGCAAAGAGGAGTTACAGAGACAGAGGTCTTCCATCTGCTGGTTCACTCCCCAAATGGCCACAATGGCCAGAGCTGGGCCAGGCTGAAGCCAGGAGCCAGGAGCTTCCTCTGGGCTCCCATGTAGGTGCAGGGCCCCAAGGAGCTGCCTTCCCAGGCGCCGCAGCAGGGAGCTGGATCGGAAGGGGAGCAGCCGGGACTCCAGCCGGCACCCACATGGGCGGCTTAACCAGCTGCACCACAGCACCGGCCCCCACGCACACCCTAAAGTACAGAGTCGCTTCACACAGATACACAGCCGTAACCGGGACTGCAGCGTCAGACAATCCCACTGATACCCAGAACCACATCACAGCCAGCTACAAGGTTACAGGGAGAGAAGACACACGCCTCCCATACTCAGGAGCACAGAGAGCCACACGACTAACCAGAAACACACAGCAGGAAGGACAGTTTCATCCACACACAGCGAGAGGGAATGACAGCCTTCACCAACACAGGTTTACAGTTATGTCACAGAGACCCACACACAGTCACACAATGACGTCACCACACACACAGTCAGAAACAACATGGGCACCCAGTGCAGCCACACACACCCCGGATGCAACCCCACGAAAGAGTCAGCACACAGGGTTCTGGTGCCCACCAAGGCAAGGTCTTTATGGTGGTCTAGAGGTCTGTGGGTTCAGAGATTTGTGGATCCAGTCCCTCCCCCTCCCTAACTCAGCACAGTTCCCTTCATCAGGGGCCTGAGTCACCCAACGAAGTGGGGGGAGTCAGACCCTCTACCCCCCCCCTTAGCACCAATCTGGACAGGCCACCCCCTAAAAGTGAACAGACTGAGTGGCGCCTTCCACAAAAGGGGTGAACAGAGCTGGGAGGAGGCGTTTCCTGTGGGAAGCCAAGAGCAGCACCGTCAGAGAAGGGGGCTGGGGGTCAGGGGACAGAGAGGTGGGTGGTCCTGGCCTCTCCCTACCCGTGACATGCAGAAAGGGCTGTGCACGTGCCTGTGTGGCCGGAGACGTCTCCTCTCCTGGACTCTGAGCCCCACCCAAGGCGGCAAGGAAGCCCCTGTTCTTCCAGACATCTGGGTTAAACCAGGCGCGCGCGTGTGGGGAGGGCTGGGGTTGAGAGTCAAAGGCATCCCAGGGCAATGTGAGGGATTTGACGTCAGAGAAGCTCCTGGGCAGAGGCCCTGGAGGGTGGGGGTCCAGAAAGGGAAGACTTAAGACTCAGAGTAGGAATTGGGGCAAGTTCAGCGGAGTGAGAAGCCCAGAGTGGAGTCAGGAGGGTGGGGTCTGGGATCCAGAAGGCAGGGGTTCAAAGAGACCCACAGCCGTGTCCAGGGTGAAGTTCAGACTCTAGGACCAGAAGCACTGGGGAGCTGGGTTCTAGCACCACAGGACGTGAAGTTTGAAACCAGAGGCAGCTGCAGGCTGCGAGGCAGAGAAGTTTAGAGAGTAGGGACCAGAGCTAGAAAGAAGCCCCCAGACCAAGTTCTGGAGCCACAGGGATTGGGACTTATCCAGTCTAGAACAGAAGGAGTCTGGGGTTGTAAGCTCTAGAGGCAGAGAAACGGGTGAGGCAAGGTCCTTGATCAGACGATGGAAGGCTGGTTCTAGACCTGGTGTGGGTCTGGAGTGAGGGGAGGTGGACACTGTGAGGACTAGAACTGAAGGGACTTAAAGCGTAGGTCTAGAATCAGAAGGCGTTAGCAGCTGGGGTCTAGAACCAGACAGGTGGCAGATCATGAGGTGTGGGATTGAGAGTCCAGAACTGAACAGAACTGGGGCGTGGTCTGGTTCTGGAAGAACGGGTCAGGAGGGCCAAGACCTAAAGCTCAGTCCACTTCATTGTGGTAGGGAAGAAAGTCTTGATGTAGAAACGAAGAAGCAACTGGGCATCGCGATGTTTGGAACCAAGACGACTCGAAGTTAGGAGGTCTGGATTTGGAACCACACGCATCACAGTCTGGGAAGATTAGAACCAACGAGAAGCCTGGAGTTGTGCGGTCCAGAACCAGAGGAAGTCATTAGTTGTAAGATCTGGGCCCAAAAGAGGTTAGAGGGTGTGAGACTGAGGACCAGAGGGATTTACGAGGAGAAATCCAGAGCAAGAGGAAACCAGAGTTCTAGAGTGAGTTCTAGAGCCGGGGGCATGGCTGGTCACAGGCTGTAGATCCAGAGTGCGGAGCGTGTGCGGCCCAGGATGGGAAAGGCTGTGAGGTCTGGACCAGGCCGTGCTGTGGATTGTGCGGTCTGGAACCAGGAGAAGGCAGAACGTTGTGCAGCCTAGAACCAGTGGTCAGGTTGCACGGTCTGGAACCAGAGGAGGGTGGAGGCGACCCCAGGAATAGGAAGACCACAGTGGAGTCACTGCCCTGGTGAAGCTGGGGGTAGCAGGAACTCCTGAGTGGGGGGCCAGCGTGGAAGGCCGAGGCCTCAACAGCAGTCTCTGGGGGTGAGGTCTGGCCCAGTGCCTTCCCCCACTGATACCTGAGGAGGGGGAAGGTCAGAGCGCCACATGCTTGTGGACCTTGGGCAATTCCTAGTGATTCAAGACCACATCAGAAAGAGAAGAAGAACAAAACTAAAAGAGGGACAGGGAAAAAAATGTGATTTCAGTTATCCATACTCAAATCACGGATCTGACCCCCAGCCCTCCCCAGCCCTGCATCCCCAAAATGAAGCCAAGAGTCGGAGGGAGGGTGGTGAGGTAACCACGGATCGGGAAGTCCTGAGAGAGGAGGAGGGGGCCGAGCACCCCCTCCCACAGAGGTCACTGAGCTGAGATCACCCCACTCGGCCCCCCAGCTTGGGAGCACGCAGAGGGGTGGGGGCTGAGGTAGGCCCAGGGCTGGCGGGGGCCGCTCAGGAGGGGGTCCCCATCCTGTGTGCTGGCTGCCGGCTTGGAGTGTGGCTGAGGTTCTCCCGGGGGCGGGACGCGGAGCTGGCTCAGTGGGCGCGGGCCGAGCTGGCCACTGGCTGGAAGGGGCTCCCAGGCTGGGCGGCGGCGGCGTCCTCCGGGTAGAGAGAGAGCAGCGAGGGTCCCAGGCCTGCGGGGAGAGATGGGGGGAGCCATCAGCCCAACCTGTGCCATCTTCCTAGCAGCCAAACGTGTCCTTCCTGGATTCCAGCAGCCCCGAGCGCTCAGGCTGTTGATGGCCATGGTCAAGAAGAGCCCCAGTTCAGAGCCGGACGGCTGTCCCAGCATGAATCCAAGGCTTCTCGGGTGCTTGTGGTGTGATCTGGGGGCAAAGTGACTTGACCTGGCTGGGCCTCGGTCTTCTCATCTGTACAATGGGCAAATGGCACCATCCTCTCGGGGCTACTGTGAGGAGTATAGGAGTGAATCTACGTGCAGCGCTTTGAGCGTCAACTGCTACTGGTGGGTGCTTAGTGAGTGAGCTTCGCACCTGCCATGTTTATGAGGATTTACTCATTCAAAATGTACCTGCTAATCACTTCTCGGCCTTTCGGCTAAGATCAAGTACAAAATATACCCACTGTTCATGAGGTGCCAGGCACTGTGCTGGTTGCTGGAGCGGGATGGGTGGAACTCCCTGGCCTCGTGGGAAACAGGAGAACCCGTGAGGGACCTGGGTGCAATGCCGCACAGGAAGGGTTTGGCACCAAGCCTGAGGCACCGTAAGCGCTTAACGAACGTTAGCGACTCATGACAGTAATGCACCGAGCACCTCCGGTGTCCTCTGCCACTGCCCGGCCACACACAGGGGAAGTCTAGCCATGACCAAGACGGCGCTGGCTCCCTGCCCTCACAGGGAGAAGCCAGCCAAATCATCAAACGGTGACACAGACACCTCTATGACAAGCCATGGGTCTGCGAAGCCAGGGAGAGCTTTCTAGAAAGAGTCCTGGTTGATCTGAGCCCTAAAGGGTGTGGTTGGAGTGCGAGCTTTCCAGGCAGAGTGGGACCAGGCTAGGCAAAGGCCCTGGGGCCGCTTCCTGGAGCACAGCTTTCCAGCCATCACAGGGCACTCTGCCTTCACCTCGCTCTCGGCCTCAGCCACGCCAGCCTTGCTGTTCCCCGAATAAGACAGAAGTACACTCCAGCTGGGGACCTTAGCACTGGCCGTCCCCTCTGCCTAGGGACCACATCCAGGCTCACTCCTCGGGGGCCACCTGTGAGCCTGCTATTTAGAACGGGAACCTTGTTCTCCTCTTGCACGCATGGTCTTCCTGGTGCACAGATTCCCGTGCCTCGTGCTCCTGCCTGACCTCGCTTCTTCGTGGTGGTCTCTCTCCCACCCTACCGTGTCTGCTCCACATGGCTGGGCTTGCTGTGTGTGTGTTATTCAGAGCGAGGTCTCTGTGTGTCCCACACATTATCTGTTGCAAGCACGAGGGGAGGGGTAAACAGAGTCCCAATGCCTGTGGCAGAGAACAGAGGCAGTGACCAGACCCCACAGACACCCCCGTGTGCGTGTGTCTGTGCACACGTGCGTGTCTGTGTGCCTACACATGCATGTGGCTCTGCACATGTGTGTTCATGTGTCAGTGCATGAGTGATCCCAAAGCTGGGAACAGCAGAGGTCCATCCAAGCCCAATTCAGTCAAGCTGAATTGTAGCTGCAGGCTACACAGGCTCAAGAGGCCAAGGTTTGCCCCTGGCCTTGGCTAATCCCCCAGGGGAGCCCAGACCAGCCCCGCCTCCTGCAGGGTCTCTCTTTCCCTGCCGCAGTGCCCAGGAGAGGAGGAAGGGGCTGCTCATTTCCACCAAGGTCCCCCCTGGACAGTGGAAGTCCACCCGGCCCCCCTCCACCCGTCTGAGTCACCCAGGGCGTCTTCCGGAGCAGAGGGGGGATCCAGGTTACCACTCACCCAGGGGCTCACTCAGGCCCAGGAGGGGGGCGCTGGGCTCCTGCTGGCCCCCTGGGGCCGGTCCTCGTGTCAGAAGGAAACTCTGGGGTGAGGAGACAAAGCCATCGTCGTCAGCATCACCATCAGGATCGGAGGAGACAGGATGGCTGCGGGGCCGTGGCCAGCTCTGTGACGGCGGCCAGGTCACTCCCAGACGTCCCCGGTGTGTGCCTCCACAGCCACCTCCTTCCATGGCACGCGAGGCCGACCTGTGCAGCCTCACCCGGGGTTCCTGCCGGGAGACCCCAGCAGGCGGGAGGGGGAGGGGGGCCATTTGATCTTCCAGCTGCCTTCCTGCTGCCCACTGTGGGTTGGTTGTAACCTCCCATGGGCCTTACCAAGTGGACCCTGCTCTGGCCAGGTCCGGACACCACCCTGTCCTTTATCTTCAGCCCAGGGCTGGTACCGGCTCTCCAGGTGGCAGCTGCTACACCCAGCCCACAGCTTTGTGCTGTTTCCTGCCTAGACTGAGACAGTGGCTCCAGCTTCCTGTGTCAGTGTGTGTGTAAGAATAATATTTCCGGAGTGCTCACGGGGATTACATAAGTTAACCAGCCAGTGTGTAAACATGGCAGGCGTTCGGTTCCAGTAAGCTGTTGGTATCATCACCCGCATTTCTCATGTTTGAATAAGGGGCAGAGTAAGGAGCCAGGGCACTTCTGTGGGTACTAGGGAGCCACGGAAGGTCCTAGAGGGAGGCCTTGTGGAAGTGACGCCATCCAAGCTGACTTCGAAAGCGCATTCTGTTTGCTGGTGTGCAGGATAGCAGTGGTGAGGCCGGAGGCCGGGAGACGTGGGGTTGGGGGGAGCGGGGGCAGGAGGGAGAGGGCCGCCTGCGTGTGCATGCCCACCGTTTGTCCACCATTTGTTGACAGCCCACGGAGTATCAGCGAAGAGCCTGGTTTTGTGTTAAGTTGCTCCTGTGAGATGGAACTACGCTTGCTGTCCAGATGAGAAACAGGTTCAGCGTGGTGACCTTGCCTGCCCACGGTCTCACAGCTACCAGGCGGCAGACCAGGGCCAGTGTCCCTCCAGTGTCAGCCCTCTCAACCCTCATCACTAACCCAAGCCCAAGGCCCGATCCGGTCGGGGAGGGGGTCCCGTGGGAGCAGAGATGCTGCCTTGGGCACTAACCACCTGCCAGTTCTCCCCTGACCTGCTTAACTTCCCTCCTGGGGCTTTCCCCCGACTGGCAGGCATCTGCAGTGGCCTTCCACACCCGAGCTGGAGCACGGGGGCCCAGGCTCTGCTGCACCCCTGGCCTTCTGTCCACCTGCAGCTGGCCCCTGCTCCTCGCTGGGGCCCCCCTCCATCAAACAAGCTTCAAGCCTGCCAGGCCCCTGCGGTCAGAGCTTCCCACCGATCCCCAGACATACCAGGCTGAGGGAAGGCAGCGGGAAGCTTCCGGGTTCCTGGTTGGGGGGCCGTTTTGGGGGTCTCACTCCCAGCAGCTCCACCCCCTCGGCCTCGGCCTCTGAGCTCGGGGCCAGGGCCCTGGAGGAAAACAGGCAAAACGCTCAGGACACAGCAAACCTGCGCAGGTGATGGCCGTCACCCACTCCCCAAGCGTCTATGTAGTGCTCTACCCCAGCAATCCATCCATCTAGCAATCCTACGAACCCACCTTCTCATTCGTCTATCCAATGACCCATCGCCCTGCCACCCACACAACCTTCTGTCCATCTCTCCATTCATTCACCTACCTACTCACCCATTCACCCCCCACTCACCTACCCACCACCTCATCGATCCATCCATCTGCCTTCCCATCTCTCCACCCACCCACCCACCCATCCATCCACCTGACCACCCACTCAACCATCCACCACCTACCCACCCATCCATCCACCACCTACTCACCCACACGTCCATCCAACCAACCACCTATTCACCTGACCACCCACTCACCCATCCACCCATCACACCCCCCACCTACTCATTGATCCATCCATCCACCTCCCCATCTGTCCACCCACCTACCCAGCCATCCATCCACCCACCTGACCACCTGCCCACCCATCCATCCACCACCTACTCACCTATCCACACACTCACCCATCCACCCATCACACCCCCCCTACTCATTGATCCATCCATCCACCTTCCCATCTGTCCACCCACCCACCCATCCATCCACCCACCTGACCACCCACTCAACCATCCACCCACCCACCTGACACCCACTCATCCATCCACCACCTACTTACCCACATGTCTATTCAACCAACTACCTATTCACCTATCCACCCACTCACCCATCCACCCATCACACCCCCCACCTACTCATTGATCCATCCATCCACCTTCCCATCTTTCCAACCCACCTACCATCCATCCACCACCCGACCACTTACCCATCCATCTATCCACCTGACTACCCACCATCCATCCACCCATAGTCAGGTTCACTCATTCATCCTTCCATCTTCTCATTCATCCATCTGCCCTTCCATTAATCCACCTGTCTAATCACCCACTTGCCATGCATCCATCTATCCAGTCACCCATCCATCCTTCATGAATTCCCTCCCTCCTTCATTTAATCAACATTAGTAGACACCCACTGTATGCTGAGCCCCAAGCTGGGAGCCTTGGGAGATACCGAGGCACACCCATAAAAGCCTCAGGATAGTAAAGAGGCCACTCTGGAGACCAAATGGGCACATGCCTTCAATTGGAGAGCAAAAAGTTGAGTCTTAGTGTAATGTAATAACCTTAGAAGGGGGACCAAGACCCTTTTGGGTCTTGTACACAATTGTCTATCTGTGTGTGCATGTGTATTTAAATTTTCTTGGGGAAGAATCCGTAGCTTTGATCAGATTCTCAAAGATGTTAGGAACCTTAGTGGTCGGCTGTTTCTCCAACCCCCGTAGCAGTGACTGTGACAAGAACCGCCACTAGGCCGGAGGTACGGATGTGCCAAAGGAGAGAGACCTGATTGGCAGGTGGCGCTGCGCTACAGGACAGCAGCGGAAGGCATCCAGAGTGGGACACACCTGGGCAAAGGCAGAGAGCTTGGGACAAACCTGGGATGTGCGGGGCCGGGAGCGCCAGGCTGGAGTGGACATGGTGGGGTGGGGAAGGGGTGGGGGGTGAGGCTGAAGCCAGGGCGCCCCCTTGTCTGCGGCTCACCTCTTCCGAGCCCCAGCCGCAGGGGAGGACGCTGGCGGGTCCCTTCTGGAAGGGCTACAGCAGCTCAGCCGGGGGTCACTCCCCCAGCGGGGCAGCAGAGAGGCCTCAGGGGTCGGGGGGGACAGGCCGTGGAAGCTCCGTGCGCGGGGCCGGGGGGTGGTCCCCGCCGGCCTGTGGCAGGCCCTGGGCAGCTGCTCACTGGAGTTGAGCTGGAAGTCGTCGTCCATGGAGATGTACGGGGCCAGCATCTCCAGGTCCAGGGCATCGGCATCCTGCGGAGGGCAGGAGGGGGTTCAGAGCACAGGCCTGGGCCCCGGGAGGACCTGGGCTCCACCACCCCCGCGTCCTGGGCCTGAGGCTAGGAGTCCGTGCCTCCTCATCTGTGAAGTGGGTATAAAGTGCCTTCAGAGGACCGCAGAGCAGGGACCACCCGGACCCCCGACCCTCAGAAATGATTTGAGGCCACAAATGTGGTTGTTTTAATCCACACACTTTGGGGTAATTGACTATCCAGAAAAAGACGTGGGTAAGATTGTGGTGCCCAGCATGGGACGCTGCCCAAACAAACATCTAGAATGTGGGCGTGGCCTTGGGGCTGAGCAGTGGGCAGGGCTGGGAGTATTCTGGAGAGCACCTGGAAGGAGCTAGCCATCAAAATCAGATCCTTGAGGGGGCTGCCAGTGACGACTTAGAAATGAGGAAACCAGGAGCAGGCATTGTGGCGTAGCCGGCAAAGCCGCTGCCTGCGGCACCAGCATCCCACATGGGCACTGGTTCGTGTCTCACCTGCTCCACTTCCAATCCAGCTCCCAACCAATGCAGCTGGGAAAAACAGTGGAAGATGGCCCAAGTCCTTGGACCCCTGCACCCACATGGGAGACCGGGAAGAAGCTCCTGGCTCCGGCTTCGATCTGGCCCAGCTCCAGCCATTGCGACCATCCGGGGAGTGAACCAGTGGAAGATCTCAACCTCTCTGTGTCTCTCCCTCTCTCTGTGTAATTCTGACTTTCAAATAAATAAACAAATCCTTTTTAAAAATGAGGAAACCAGGGGAAATTTCCAGCCAGAGTATTGGAGGTGCCACCTGGTACCTTCTTGCTACTTGTGAAAGCCAAAGCGGGGGAGAGAAGCTCAAGGAAGAAATGTCAAGCAGGAAAGAGCTGGGGGCCGGTGCTGCGGCTCACTAGGCTAATCCTCCACCTTGCGGCGCCGGCACAGCAGGTTCTAGTCCCGGTTGGGGCACCGGATTCGTCCCGGTTGCCCCTCTTCCAGGCCAGCTCTCTGCTGTGGCCCGGGAGTGCAGTGGAGGATGGCCCAAGTGCTTGGGCCCTGCACCCCATGGGAGACCAGGAGAAGCACCTGGCTCCTGGCTTCGGATCAGCGAGGTGCGCTGGCCGCAGCGCGCCAGCCGCGGCAGCCATTGGAGGGTGAAGCAACGGCAAAAGGAAGACCTTTCCCTCTGTCTCTCTCTCTCACTGTCCACTCTGCCTATCAAAAAAAAAAAAAAAAAAAAAAAAAAAAAAAAAAAAAGGCCGGCGCCGCGGCTCACTAGGCTAATCCTCCGCCTTGCGGTGCCGGCACCCCGGGTTCTAGTCCCGGTCGGGGCGCCGGATTCTATCCCGGTTGCCCCTCTTCCAGGCCAGCTCTCTGCTGTGGCCAGGGAGTGCAGTGGAGGATGGCCCAGGTGCTTGGGCCCTGCACCCCATGGGAGACCAGGATAAGTACCTGGCTCCTGCCATCGGATCAGCGCGGTGCGCCGGCCGCAGCGTGCTGGCCGCGGCGGCCATTGGAGGGTGAACCAACGGCAAAGGAAGACCTTTCTCTCTGTCTCTCTCTCTCACTGTCCACTCTGCCTGTCAAAAAATTTAAAAAAAAAAAAAAAAAGAGCTGGGATTGGAGCGTTTTGAAATTCTCAACCTCCCTGGGTAACAAAGAATTAACATTCCCCAAAGAGAGGGCTGGCCTTTGTCTCAACTGAGAGGTAAACTCTAAGCCCCCACAGCCTCCCCAGAGAGACAGCTGTGTTATTCACTGTGGGCACCTTGGACAACACTTAGTAGTTTATGCTAATGAGCTGACTCATGATGGGCTCCCTAGATGGTTTATGCTAATGAAGTGACTCCTGATGGGCTGCCTAGACAGTTTATGCTAATGAGATGCTGGGGGCTGGCCATGCCCAAAAGATGAACCATGTGATTTGAGGGTTAGGGCTTTGCACCACGAGAAATCAACTTGACCTCTAGAGGTAGGGCTGGGGATGAATTCAGTTATGTGGGTACTGACCACGCCTACATAATGGAACCCCAATTTAAACTCTGGACACCGAAGCTGGAGTGAGCTCCTGGGTTGGCAGCACCAATGCTGGGAGGGGAATGGGACTCTAAGGACATGGTAGCTTCCTACTGGGGAGCTGCCCAGCCCCCTATCCCACCCTATGCATTTCTTCCTTTGGTTCTTATTTGTGCTCTTTTTATTTTTTATGTTTTTATTTATTTAAGACAGAGACAAACACACAGAGCTCCTATTCACTGGTTCACTCCCCAGACGCCTGCAACACCGCCCAGGGCTGGGCCAGGTCAAAGCTGAGAGTCAGAACTGTGCGGGTCTCCCACATGGGTGGCAGGACCCCATCACTTAAACCATCACCTGCTGCCTCCCAGGGTCTGCCCTAGAGGAAGCTGGAATGGGAACTGGAGCCAGAACTCAACCCTGGGCAGTGGGACCCGGGATGTGGGCACCCCAAGGATGTCTCAGCTGCTGCCCTCAATGTCCCTGACTTGATTGCCAGAATAAAACTGCAGTTCTAAGTCATGTGCAGTCCTAGTCTCTGCAAATTCCTAGCAAGTTAGCCACCAGAGGGAATCTGTGCTAATCTCCAAACTGGCACGTAGCTGCTCGGCGGTGAGGCTGACCCTGGGAGTCCTCAGACTTGGGGCTGATGTCAGAGGCCTTGGGTAACCTTGGCAGGCTGGAGGAGCGACCGTACCCTTCACCTTGGCTGGCTGAAGGGACCCCTTGGGTGGCGAAGGGTGCTAAAATTAAATGGGGTCTGAGCACAGAGAGACAGTCTCAGGGAAGCATGGGCTAAGGCGGGAGCTTGGCAGCGACTGGAGAACTCCTGGTTAAGATTTTGGAAAGAGGCAAGAGAGTGCCTCAGACCCCTCCAGTCAGACTCTGAGGAGTGGGAGGGTCCCCCCCCTCCCCGAGATCTGCGTCAGATAACAGCCAGAAGCCAAGTTAGAGCAGGGTTTATCTCTGGGTGACCTGCGGCTGAGGCTTGGGTAACGGAGTGAGCTCCCAAGAGATCACAGAGGGCTCACAGAGTTGGTTTTGTTCTAAAAATGAGGATTATATGAACAGGGACACTGCCAGCATGGGTGGGAACAGACACAGCTGGTACCACATGCAAAGAGGCTTCTAGAAGCAAGCGGCAGAGTGAGAAAGCGTCAGGTGCAAACACTCATTTCTTTGATGACCAAGGAGGGCTCAGACAGGATGAGGAGCCCACAGGGCTGCACCAAGAACCACAGAGAACAGCTCCTGCAGAGCAGTGGGCGTGCTTCCGCATCAGTGCTCTTCCAGGGTGCGCCCAGGCGAATTTCAACACCGCTATGGGCCAGTGGCAGCCGTGGTGGAAAACCATTTCTGAGGTTGGGCTGCAGCTTCTTCCTGTCTGTCTCTCTGTGTTGGATTGCTGGTGCTGGGGGAAGCCAACTGCTATGTTGTAGAGACCCACACCATAAGGAACTCAGGCCTCCAGCCAAAGCCGGCGAGGAACCGAGGGCTGCCAACAACCGTGTGTGTGGGCCTGGCAGCACGTGCTCTGACCATAAGCCTGACTTCACCTGCGTGGAGACACTGAGCCAAAGCTACCAGCCAGCTGCTCCCAGGGACCCATTCTCAGACACCATGGGTGTATTACACATTAGCTGTTGTAAGGTGGTAAGTCTTGGGGCAATTTGTTATGCAGCAAGAGATACCTAATGCATCATGCCTCTGTTGTCTTAGCTAGCTGTTCAATAGGACATCTATTCAAACATCCATCCAGTCAAGGAACCGACAGTCGGTCCACCTATTTGATTATGTATCTAAGTATCCATCCATCCAAATGTCTGCCTAAACATCATCCATCCACCCATCCACCCATCCACCCATCCATCCATCCACCCACCCATCCACCCATCCATCCATCCATCCATCCACCCTCTCATCCACCCATCCTTCCTTCCATCCATCCATCCATCCATCCACCCATCCACCCATCCACCCATCCATCCATCCACCCATCCACCCATCCATCCATCCACCCATCCACCCATCCACCCATCCATCCATTCATCCATCTACCCATCCACCCATCCACTCACCCATCCATCCATCCACCCATCCATCCATGCATCCATGCATCCATCCACCCACAAGGTGAAGGCTGCCCCTTCCATGCCTGTCTTACCTGAGCTACCTCTAGATCTGTCTCCACTACCTCCAGGTCCTTCCTGGTGACAAAGGGTCCGTGTGCCTTCTCCATGCCCACAAGTAGTTGATCTGGGAGATCAGCCTGTGGGAATCAAATTAGAGACTTAAGGGAATCTTGAGCCCGGAAGTGTGCACATTAAGAGAGTCTGGAGCTCAGGAGTAGCAGCAGGGGCTGTATGTCAGACAGCAGGGCACCAAGGGTTCAAATGAAGTGCAAAAAAATCTGGACCTGGGTCTTCAAAAGTCATTGTGCCTGGGTACATTCAAGGGGACTTCAAAAAGCTCACGGCAAATGGAACAAAAAGTATGAGTTTAGGGGCCAGTGCTGTGGTGCAGCAGGTTAAGCCACAACTGGCAAGGCCGGCATGGGTGCCAGCTCCTGTCCCGGCTGCTCCACTTCTGGTCCAGCTCCCTGCTAATGCACCTGGGAAGGCAGTGGAGGATGGCCCAAGAGCTTGGGTCCCTGCCACCCACTTGGGAGACCCAGGCAGAGTTTCAGGCTCCTGGCTTCTGTCTGGCCCAGCCCTGGCTATTGCTGCCATTTAGGGAGTGAAACAATGGATAGAAGCTCTCCTTTTCTCTCTTTCTGTCTCTCCCTCTCTCTGTGTAACTCTGCCTTTCAAGTAATAAATCTTTAAAAGTAAAAATAAAAAAAAAAGCATGAGTTTAGGAGCCTAGCAGTTAGGATGCCCACATCCTATACTGAGTTTGATTCCTGGGTCTGACACCCGACTCCAGCTTCCCGCCAATGCAGCTGCTGGGGGCAGACGTGATGGCTCAAGTGGTTCGGTTCCTACCACCCAGGTGGGGCTCCTGGATTCAGTTCCTGGTCCCCGCCTTCTGCCTGACCAGTCCCAGCCATTGCAGGGATTTGGGGAATGAACCAACAGATGGAATCTATCTCTCTCTCTCTCTCTCTCTCTCTCTCTCTCTCTCTCTCTGCCTTTTAAGTAGGTGAAAATAAATGAACACGAAAAAGAAAAAGAATTTAAGAATGCACCTGCCCAGGGTATACCACACAGGTGGGAAGTGGCAGATTCAAGACCTAAATCCACGTCTGGGTAAAGCAAGGTATGGGGCACTCCTGACTCCAAGGTTGAAGTTCAGAGGGGTCTCCCATGCCAGTTCCACCCCCCTCCCTGGGTTGGGGGCTGAACTCTTGGATTCTAAAAGTTGAAGATCCTGGAGTCCAGGTCTCAAAGGAACCCCAACCCCATCACAGCCCCCAAACCAGCAAGGTTCAAGCCCAAGGCCGAGACGGCCTGGACGCTGAGGATGCCAGGGGGCGGGCCTGCTTACCGGAAGAGGACTCCGGGGGCGCCGCGGGGCTGACGGGGTGCTGGGGGCAGTGGCGACCGAAGCCCCATCCAGGATGGGCGCCAGGAGGCGGCGGAGGTCGGGGCTACAGAAACGGCGGGGGTCAGCGGCCAGCGCAGCCTCGCTCAGGGCAGGGGGGTGCAGGAAGGCCAGGATCCGGGGGCCGCGGGGGTCTGTAGTACACGTGGGCACGGGGAGGACACAGCTGGTCACCTAGGGCGGGCTGAGGGCAGGGTCCTCCCACACCAACCCCAGGGGACAGGCTGACATCTCCGACAAGCAAGCAGGGTGGCTACAGTCCTTAGAGCTGGGCAGAGGGTCGGGATTGGGGGGGAAGGATACTCTCCATGGCCCAGAAGGTGCTGGGTCATTCAGCCCTGGGGAGCTCATCAGCTGGGAGAAAGGAGTGGCCAAGCGCCCCAGGGGGTCCTCAGGCCCCCGGAGGTCAAGAGGAAATGGAAGGATATCAAATCCCCACCGCCCCCAGGAACCAACAGGGAGAGAGGCGACAGGAGCCGGACCCAGGAGGATCAGGGTGACTGGAAGCCAGAGCGATGAGTGGCACCACTGCAGGATTCGGAGCTGAGGCAACAAGAGACTGAGCAGTTATGAAACTGGGCAGAACATTCTGGGCAGAGGAGATTTCGTGTGCAAAGGTCCTGGGGCATGAACACTGGGTGTGCGCCAAGGGAGCCAGTGTGGTTTAGGAGTGAGAAGGGGAGGGAGGCGGGACTCAGGTCCAACACGGTCTGGGCTTTCTCCCAAGGGTCCCGGGGGCACAGCCCCTGCTCAGCCCCTGCCCTGCGCCCATACCAAGTCTGTCCCCAGAGTGAGGACCCCCCTTCTGGGAGGCAGCGGTCCGCTGATGGTGTCGTCGAGAGTGTCGCTCGGTTTGCTCCAGGGACAGCACCACTCCGGTCTCTTCCACCCTGCTGGGGGGGGTACAACGCAGAAAGGGGGGGTGGGAGTCAGAGAGAGAAGGGAGAGTCCTTGGTGCCAGCCCCGGCAGCCCCCTCACGGCACGCCCTATCACAGGAAGCAGCTGTGTCCCGGCTGGAGGGGGCTTTGCAGAAAATCATTTGCCACCATTCTTTGTTCCATGAGGACTTGATTTTTGTGGACTGCTCTCTTATTATACGAGGGTGCTTCCAAAAGTTTGCAGAAAGGAGGGGCCCGCGCTGTGGCGCAGTGGGTTAACGCCCTAGCCTGAAGCGTCGGCATCCCATATGGTCACCGGTTCAAGTCTTGGCTGCACCACTTCCGATCCAGCTCTCTGCTATGGCCTGAAAAAGCAGTGGAAGATGGCCCAAGTCCTTGGGCCCCTGCACCCACCTGGGAAACCCGGAAGAAGCTCCTGACTCCTGGCTTCGGATTGGCACAGCTCCGGCCGTTGCAGCCAACTGGGGAGTGAACCATCGGATGGAAGACCTCTCTCTCTCTCTCTCTCTCTCTCTGCCTCTTCTCTCTGTGTCTAACTCTGACTTTCAAATAAATAAATAAATCTTAAACAAAAAGTTTGCGGAAAGGGTATAAAAAGATAATTTTGGTGCAAAAAATTGTTTACGATTCCATGCATTCAAAGGTTGAACGTCCCTAATCCGAAAATCTGATACCCGGAGATGCTTCAAAATTCGAAACTTCTGGAGTGTCAACATGATGCCACAGGCGGAAAATTCCACACCATGGAAGCTGTGTTTCAGGCTCAAAACTATTTACAACGTGGTGTACGCCGTGAGCTCCCGCCTATACCGATAAGGAGACCTAAACACAGGTGAAGGTAGCTCATCGGGAATACGCAAGCCCCAAAGGATCCAAAACCTGAGACGCTTCCAGCCCCCAGCGTTTCAGATCAGGGATACTCAACTTGTCACAGCATTTAAAAGAGAGTTAAGTTTGGCACTCCCAAGTTCCATCTGTGGAAGGGAAGAGAAAAAAATCTGACGTTCAGCACAGCCTGGGTGGAGAAGGAACGATGGGGGTGGGGTGGGTGACACAGACAGAGGAGGGAGGCGCAGGGACAGAGGAGGGAGGCGCAGGGACAGAGCAGGCTCAGGGGTACGGGGGAACCAATGCCTCTCAGTTGACCTATAAACATTATCCCGATAAATCCATTGATGAACAACATATTTTCATATTCTTCATTGCATTACCAAGCATGAAGAATGCATAGGGCTACAGTTTTATGAATAAGGGTTTATTTAAGAGGCTTCTATTCATAGACAAACTCAAGAGAACAGATTTATAAATACACTTCTGTCCCCTGCACCTACCTCCCCTCCCGTTGGCGGGCTCCAGCTGTGGGGACAGCCAGGGTTCCATGGGGTGGGGCGGGGCTGAAGACCAGCTCCTCGTTTGCATCTCATTTGCATAGCAGCCCACCAGGCAGAACACAGGTGGGCCTGGTCCTCCCTCCAGTTCTTTAAGACCACTCCCCACTCTCACTAAACCCTCCCCTGGGCTAAAACACCCTAACTGAGCCTGCAGCCGGACCACGCTAATCCCCCTGAAAAACACACCCCAACAGTCACGTGTGTGCAGAGACACAGGCGCCACAGGCACACCCCCCAGGCAGGGGTGCTCATAGGCTGTGCACACTGGGGCTGGCACACCTGCACATGCCCCACAAGCACTCACTCCAGGAACAGCTCCTGGTCAGGCCATCCTGTGACTCTGCAGCCAGGGGCCTCGGTTCAAATCCCAGCTCTGCCACTAGATCTCTCCAGACCTGTATTTCCCTGTTGAGTCGGGAGGCACAGCACCTCCTCCGCAGATTGTCAGGACTGCGTCGTTGTGTGTGCGATGCCTGCAACGGCCAGGGATGGGGCAGGGCTGGGACGGAAGCTGGGAGCCAGGGCTCCTACGTGAGTGACAGGAACCAGTTCCCTGAGCCATCACCACTGCCTCCAGGGTCTTCACTAGCAGGCAGTGGAGTCAGGAGCCGGAGCCAGGAAGGAAACCAGGCTCCCAAGGCGGGACATGGGCGTCTCCCCAAGGTGGGACATGGGCGTCTTAGTCGGCTGCCTTCTGCTAAGACAGACACCCACCCCTGCTATCACTATTTTTATTTTTACTGAGCAACTACTGTGTCTTGGGCATGGGGAACCCAGCAGAGAACAAGACAAAGCTCCTTTGCCTTCATAGGGAACAAAACCCTGTTGGGGAATTAAAGGGCCTTACCTGAAATATATTATTTGCATGTTAAATGTCTGTAGCTGGCCGGCGCCGCGGCTCACTAGGCTAATCCTCCACCTAGCGGCGCCGGCACACCGGGTTCTAGTCCCGGTCGGGGCGCCGGATTCTGTCCCGGTTGCCCCTCTTCCAGGCCAGCTCTCTGCTGTGGCCCGGGAGTGCAGTGGAGGATGGCCCAGGTGCTTGGGCCCTGCACCCCATGGGAGACCAGGAGAAGCACCTGGCTCCTGCCATCGAATCAGCGTGGTGCGCCGGCCACAGCACGCCAGCCGCGGCGGCCATTGGAGGGTGAACCAACGGCAAAGGAAGACCTTTCTCTCTGTCTCTCTCTCTCACTGTCCACTCTGCCTATCAAAAAAAAAAAACAAAAAAACTGAGTATAAAAAATCAAAAATCGGTCTTTCCTATTGATTACACATGGAAATCATCGTTGGACGTTCTGCATCGTGTGAATTATTACTATTAATTTCACCTGCTTCTTTCTACTTTTTTAACGTGGCTACTGGAAAATCCACACCAGCACCTATGACTGGTGTAAGTCCAGTGTAAGGCAGAGAGAGTGATGAGGATTAAGAGGAAATAAAGCAGCTCGGGGCTCGCAACTTTGAAAAGGGACAAGATAATCACAGGGACACAGGGCACCAGCAGGGGACGACGAGGAGACTTAACCTTCTGTGGGGACGCGGGCAAAGGGTCTTCCGGGAACTGACGTCTGAGCCGAGGCTGGAGAGACAAGTGTGCGTGAGCCGTGAGCCGGGAGGAAGCAGAGGAGGGGAGAGAGAAGGGCACGCTGGGCAAGGGAGGCAGTGTGTGCAAAGGCCTGGCGGTTTGGTGAGTGAGTGAGAGGCGAGGGAGGCAGAAGTCCCCGGGAGAGCCCTGTTAACCCATTAACTGCCTCAGGTTTTCTCCTAAGGAGACCAGGGAGCGGCAGAAGGGCTGTGAGTGGCACGGAAGCGAAAGGTGTGTGTCGATTCGTGTTCCGGAACACTCCCCAGCTCTAGGGAAAGCCCCGAGGCCGTCTCCTGCACCCCTGTTTTCTACGAAAACCCCGAGACAGGGAATGGGGTAGGGGCAGCTTATGATCTCACCATTACACACCTGTCCCAGAAGGACTGATGCTAAGACAAAGCAAACTCACAGGACCAAAGAAACACCCAGATGTTGCAAGGGAATGCAGCAACCAGAACATCACAGTCTCTCGCTGCCGATGGGAACGCCAAGTGCACAGCCGGTTTCCAGCCGGCGGCCCCCTCCCGAGCGTTTGCCCCCAGAAATGAAATCTACAAACCCGTGACCCCCTGACTGGTAAATGCGTGTGTTCCGTGTGGGTGCCACGGACACGCACCACGGCGTGGCCGCGCCTTCAGTACATCACGACACGCAGGGGCCAGATGCCGCGTGATTTTCTGTATTTGACATTCTGGGAAGGGCAGGCCCAGTGGCCGCGGGGCCTCAGGCTGGCGACAGGAATGAGACTGGGCGCAAGAGCTCCTCCGTATGCGTGCACAGCTGTGTGTGCATCCACGTGGCCACAGATGTTCCACGTATGTGTACAATGCACGCCTGCTCACACATGCACGCCTGGCACACACACACACACGCAGCTCACCTGATCAGGAAGTGGACGCAGACGATACTCTCGGCCTGGGGGCCCCGGCCCCCGGACACCACCGTGGCCTGGGTCTGGGTCCACAGGTAGCCACCGCTCCGGGCCAGGAAGCGATACTGCCCCGTAACTGCCTGGCCCTTACTCAGCACTGGGGAGGGAGCAGGCAGGGGCCAGGGTCAGGGCCAGGGAGAGGGCTCCGGGGCCAAGGGATGGGCAGGAGGGGGACTGGAGGGAGGAGCAGGGGGGGCTTGGGGAGCAGGGAGCTGGTGCTGAGTGCGGCGGGGAGTGCTCCGGGGCCTCGGGGACAGGGGACACGTACAGGTGTGGATGCTCTTGCTGACAGCGTCTGAGTCCAGCGCGTGGATGTACTCGTAGGCGGAGCAGCCAATCAGGTCATCGGGGCTGTAGCCGGCCACCTCTGCGATCCTGAGGGTGGGTGCAGCAGGGCCTGGTTAGGGTGCGGGTGGCCGAGGCGGGTGAGGGCTGGGCCGGGGAGACAGGCAGGAGGAGCGGCAGGGTTGCAACAGAGAAAGGGAAAGTGTGAGAAGCAGGAAAAGTGGAGCCACAGGGCGGCCCCGGCATCAGGGTCCCGGTCCCCGAGGTGGGGAGATGATCCCAGGGTGTCTCGAGGGGCCCCGGGGAGTCGCGGAGGGCTTGGAAGAGGAGGCAGGAGGGCTGGAGCCGGGAAGCACCGTGGGGACGCACGGACGGATGGATGGGACAGGGAGGACAGACAGGCAGGGAGGAGCGCTGTGCTCCGAAGACGAGGGAGCCCAGGCCTTGACTTCAGCCCCGGGGGCTCCTGCTACCTTCTGGTCTCCGGATGGGATCGGCGAGCTGGCGCATCTGAGCTGTTGGGAGCCCCTGTGTGTGTGGTGCTGGGTTACAGCCGGACAACAAGAAACTAAGCAAGAGCAGGGCGGGAGCCAGATGGGGCGGGGGGAGGGGGGAGGGGAAAGGCAAAGAAAAGGAAGAAAAAAGGAGAAAACAAAAGAAACGGGGCCAGAAGGGAAGAAAAAAGAGAAGAAATAGAAGACAGTAACCGTGATGATGATGTGTGTGCCCCGGCAGTGCACCGAGTGCCCGGCCGTACCACGCTCTGCACAGGACACACGGGGACACAGACAGGTGCAGTCCGCTGGCCAAGGCCACATGGCCAGGATTTAAGCCCAAGCCGTGTGAACCCAGATGCTCCAGGAGGGGGGAGGGAGGGAAGGGAGGGAGTGAGTGAGGGAGAGCATTCATAACGCCACTTTGAGTGCTTCCTGTGTGCTGAGCACTGACTAACTGGCTTTACAGGAATTCACTCAGTCGGGGCTGGCGTTGTGGCACAGTGGGGTAAGCCACCTGCTGCGATGCCAGCATCCCGTATGAGCAGTGGTTCAAATCCCACCTGCTCTAGTTCTGATCCAGCTGCCGGCTAATGCAACTGGGAAAGCAGCAGAAGGTGGCTCCAGTCCTTGGGTCCCTGCCAACCACATGGGAGACCTGGAAGAAGCTCCTGGCTCCTGGCTTCAGCTTGGCGCATCCCTGGCTCTTGTGGCCACTTGGGGGAGTAAACCAGCGGATGGAAGATCTCTCTCTGTGTCTCTCTCCCTCTCTCTCTGTAACTCTGCCTTTCAAATAAGTAAATTTTTTTTAATGAATTGACTCATTTAAGAAAAGCAAGAGAAAGAGAGTGAGATACTAAAAAGATTCAGAGGGATAACACACACACACACACACATACGGAGGGAAAATCAAAGACAAAAGAATGCCTAGAAATTATAGACAGACAGGAAGAGACAGACTGATGTACTGGGGAGGCACCGAGACAGGACAGAGAGAAAGGACCGGTGCTGGGAAGGCAGGGGAGGGAACACAGCCTGGGCACTTGGGCGGCTGGGATGGGGCCCTGCCCACCTCTCGTCGCAGTAAGTGAACTTCATGTCCAGGCTGTGGCGGCTGAGGAAGGACCCCCGGCCCAGCGGGGGCTCCAGGCTGCTGGGGTGGGGGATGGCTTCGCAGATGAGCACCAGGCATTGCAGGGGAGGCTCCGCACGGGGGCTCCCGGCCGGGGAAGTCTGAGCAGGAGGCCTGTAGGCCCGCATGTGTCCGGAGCAGTGCAGCACCTGGGGGCCGGGGAGGGGCAGGCAGGATGCATCTGGAACCCGGCCCGCCCGTGGGCCTGGGAGACGTCTCCGCGGGCCCCGCGGGGAGTGGAGGACTCCAGACTCAGAGCTTAGAGGACCCCCAGATTCCAGGCTGCAAACTCAAGGGGCTGAGGACCCCCAGCTCCAGGTACCCGGAAACCCACCTCAGGATTCCAAGGACCCCAACTGCAGGCCCGCCAACCTCCCAGATGCCCGAAGGACCCCCCCCCCCCAAGACGGGGCCTGGGAGACCCTAGGAGACTCCAATCACTCCCTGTGGGATCCTTAGGGGCTCCCGCCCAGCCCCAGCAGGCCCCAGGGCCCCGCCCCCTCGCAGGCCCCGCCCACCTTCCAGGTGGCCGCCTTGAGGTTGAGGGTGCGCCCGCGGCTGGTCAGGGTGCTCTTCATGCGCAAGGAGAAGCTCCGCTCCGTCGGGGCCTCTGGCTTCTTCCTGGACAGGCCTGGGGACGGACAAGGTCAAGGCCGGACAGCTGCAGTGAGCCCAGCGCTCCCCAGCTAATGTCTCTGGGCTCCTCCCCCAAACTGGGACCTGGCACCAGAGAGGGCAATGGGGGGAGGGCATGGCCTCTCAGACCCCCCCGGGGTGGAGCTGGGGGTCCTCTTAGGTCCCTCCGGGTTAGGGCAGGGCCAAGAGTCCCCTCAGACCCACCCCCCGGGCGGGGCGGGGCCATGGGTCCCCTCAGCCTCCTTTCCGGGATGGGCGGGACCATGGGGGGGGTCTCCTCAGACCCGCCCCCCGGGGCGGGGCCACGCCCCTCTTTTCTGTTGCACCGGAAAGGCCTGGAGTGGGCACTCACTCGGCGGGGGGGTCAGGGCGTCCTGCAGCTCCTCTTGGTCGCAGGGGTGGACAAAGTCAAAGATGCTGTGACCAATGAGCTCCAGCTGCGAGGCAGGGGGCGGGGCGGGCGGCGAATTGGAGAGGAGCCTCTGCCCCAGCCCTCCCTCCACTCCTCGGCACCCCTGCCCCGGCTCAGGAGCCTGGGGTACCGCACCAGGCTCCCCCTCCTCCATTCATTCCCTGCGCAAGCATTTCTCCATCATCTACTACTCCCCAGGCCCTCTGCACAAACTCTAGCCTTGCGGTGCTGACCGGCTACGGTGCGTGTGCGGAGCAAAGACAACAAGCAAGCAAAACAAGGTAAAAACACGATACAGGGACCCAGCAGGTACCCCAGGCCCGTGACACCAGCTCCACTTCCAGTCCAGCTCCCTGCCAATGCACCTGGGAAAGCAGCAGAAGATGGCCCAAGTGCTTGGGCCCCTGCCACCCATGTGGGAGACTCGGATGGAGTTCCAGGCTCCTGACTTCTGCCTGGCCCGCCCTGGCTCTTGAGGGCATTTGGAGAATGAATCAGTGGATGGAAGACCTCTGTGTGTCTGTCAGTCTGTCTGCCTCTCTCTGTAACTCTGCCTTTCAAACAAATAAAAGGATATTTATATCTTTTACTTTCTTCTTTTAGCTTGTTTTTTTTCCTTTGGTTTTGTTTTTTTGACAGGCAGAGTGGGCAGTGAGAGAGAGAGAGACAGAGAGAAAGGTCTTCCTTTGCCGTTGGTTCACCCGCCAACGGCCGCCGCGGCCAGCGTGCTGTGGCCAGCGCACCGCGCTGATCCGAAGCCAGGAGCCAGGTGCTTCTCCTGGTCTCCCATGGGGTGCAGGGCCCAAGCACTTGGGCCATCCTCCACTGCACTCCCGGGCCACAGCAGAGAGCTGGCCGGGAAGAGGGGCAACCGGGACAGAATCCGGCGCCTGGACCGGGACTAGAACCCGGTGTGCCGGCACCGCAAGGCGGAGGATTAGCCTAGTGAGCCGCAGCGCCGACCCCAAATAAATGAATCTTAAAAATCAAGAGGGATGGGCTTGCAGCTCCCTGGAGGAAGACTATTCTAGAAAGAGGGAGCAGCGAGATCCTGCTCCTCTGACAGCAGTCCCTGGAGCCAGCCTTGAACCTGTGGAAGCCTGGGACGCTCGGCTCTCTGCCTCCCACCGCTCGGACTGACAGAGCGCGAGGCGGGGGAAGGAACAGACGCTGGCCACGGGGCCGCTCGCGTGACAGAGACCAAGGACGGGATCGTCTCCTGCCGCCTGCTTTAGGGATGAATTCCGGTCAGCTCTCCGGGTGGGTGTTCACCCCCGCAGTGAGCATGCCCAGTCCCACACTGCAGGGTCTGGGTTCAAGTCCCAGCTCTGGCTCCTACCAGCGAGACCCTGGAAGGCAGTAGTGGGTTCCTGCTGCCGGTGTGGAAGGTCTAGGTTGAGTTCCTGGCTCCTGGTTGTGGTGGTGGCCATCTCTGTCTGTCTCTCAAGTTTCTCCAATAAATAAACACTCAGTTCTACTTCTCGAAGGTCTCCTTCCCATCCTCCCACTCCCATGGCCCCTGTCCCCACCTTTCTCCTGTCTGAGACCAGCATCCACCCCGGCCGCTCTGCCAACCTCTAGGCTCACTCCAGCCGAGTCTGTCCCTATGCAGATGCAGAGAGAGCTTTCTAAAATGCGGATCTTGGGGGCAGGCACTATGTGATGCCGGCATCCCTACCAGACCGCCGTTCAAGTCCCAGCTGCTAACGCCCCCGGAAAGCAGAGGATGGTGGCCCAAGTCCTTGGGAGACCCAGGTGGAGCTCCAGGCTTCTGACTTTGGCCTGCACCAGCCCTGGCCGCTGCAGCCATTTGAAGAGTGAACCAGCAGAAGGAAAATCTCTCTTTCTCTTACTCTGCCTTCCAATCAGATAAACAAGTTTTTAAAAATAAAATGTAAATCTTCAAATGTAAATCTGGTTCTACCTCCCGGCTTCTCCTCTGCTCACACTCTCTCCCCGGCTCCCCGGGAAATAAGTTTCTGAATTTGACCCCGTGCTGCCTCGTCCGTGTCGATGTGTAGCTTTTCTCTGCTCCTCCGCACCCTGTGCCCAGCCAGGATGAACGTCTTCATGTTCCCAAAGTGTTCTGCCGTGAGCGTTCCGATCATCACTGGTCCCACCCACTCCCGATTCCCCTTTGGCTAAAGTCCTTTGGCTTTCGGCTCAGATGTCCTCTCCTCCAGGAAGCCCTCCGTCCCCTCTCCCAGGCTGGGTCAGGTACCCGCCTCCTGGGGGGCTCCCACCGCCACCCAGGCTGTCCCATCCCAGTCCCACTGTCCAGGGCTGAGCCTGTCGCGGTCCCCACTGCAGGCAGCCCCTCTCACCTGGCTGAGGCCCAGGTGTTTGCTGACGTTCTCTGACAGGTAAGCCATGTCCCCCTGGGCGGTGAGCACCATGACGAAGCCCTCCAGGGCCTTCAGGTAGCAGGCGTCCAGCGGCTCTCTCTCTGCTCCCGCCTGGTTCCACTCCCCTGGCGCGGGGGGCAGGGCACTGCCGTCACTCGTGGGTGCACCCTGGCTAGCCTCCCTCTGCCTGTCCTCGATCTGAGGGACTTCCAGGGAACCCAGGGGAGCAGGCTGGAGTCCCACGATGGAGAGGACAGGGCCACCACACATTGCAATTAGGACAGAATCCTAAGGGGTGGAAATCCCAAGGGTCAAGACTCTAAGGGGCCAAGGCTGAGGATGAACGGGAATTCTGGGCGGGGAGTAGCTATCCAGAGTCCCTGCAGGGCAGAATGTTCTAGAATTCTAAAGAATGCACAGACTTGGCCGGCGCCGCGGCTCACTAGGCTAATCTTCCACCTAGCGGCGCCGGCACACCGGGTTCTAGTCCCGGTCGGGGCGCCGGATTCTGTCCTGGTTGCCCCTCTTCCAGGCCAGCTCTCTGCTGTGGCCAGGGAGTGCAGTGGAGGATGGCCCAAGTGCTTGGGCCCTGCACCCCATGGGAGACCAAGAGAAGCACCTGGCTCCTGCCTTTGGATCAGCTCAGTGCGCCGGCCACAGTGCGCCGGCCATGCCGGCCATTGGAGGGTGAACCAACAGCAAAAGGAAGACCTTTCTCTCTGTCTCTCTCTCTCACTGTCAAAAAAAAAATAAAAAAATAAAAAAAAAAATGACAGACTTCTAAAGAAGCAGGGGCACCAGGGGACAGGATCCCAAGGGGCCCAAGCTTCCCAGAGAAGTAAGATTCTATGGGGCAGCGCAGCCTAATGGGCAGAGCCTGCCAGGGGATGACTCTACTTCTCCAATAATATAATATTTTCAGGGTGCCGGGATTCCAAAACGCAACACAGCAGGCTAGGCTGCTGCCTACGACGCCGGCATCCCCTGTAGCTGCGCAATCTGACTAGAGTCCAGGCTGCTCCACTTCTGATCCAGCTCCCTGCTAACGCGCCCGAGAAAGCAGCAGAGGAGGGTGGCCCAAGTGTTCGGGCCCCTGCACCCTCATGAGAGACCCGGATGAAGCTCCTGGCTGCAGCCTGGCCCAGCCCTGGCCATTGTGGCCATTTGGGGGGAGTGAACCAGCCCATAGAAGAGCTCTCTCTCTCTCTCTATCCTTCTCCCTTTCAAATAAATATATATTAAAAATTTTTAAAAATGTTAATTGAGTGAGGGAGCGGCGGGGCCTCCAGCTCTTGGGGCGCCCGGGCTTTATAAGGGCACAGCCAGGAGGCGGGGGGTCTCTCAAATGATAGACTTCCAAGGGGCGGGACTTCCAAGAGCACCGGGCTCTGGTTGGCCTGGAAAGTGGCCTCCAGGGGGCGGGGCTGTGAGGGACAGACAGCACCGGGAGGCGGGGTCTCCGTGGACTGCAGCTTCCCGAGGGCGGGGCGGGGCGGCGCGGGGACGGGAATGCCCGCGGCCGGACTCACCTGCGGCGCAGAGGCGGTGCATGCGCAGGTAGCTGATGGTCAGGCGCATGATGGAGGCCTTGTCCAGGTGCGCGCTGACGCCGCGCGCGAAGGGCAGCGTGTGCGCCAGCTGGTACAGCACCTCGGTCTCCTGGCTGCGCCGGCTGCGGGCCGCATCCCGGGACTTCTCCTTGCGCAACTCCGTGCTCGACCTGCGGGCGTGGGCAGCGTTCAGGGGTGGCGTCCCCGAAGGGCAAAGCGGTGGACGCTAGGCGCACGTCGGGCACAGACCCCAGGGGCCCGGGCTCGCAGAGGGCAGAGCAGGCGCCGTGCAGGCCCCGCCGTGCGTCCCCGGGGCTCTCTGAAGCCCCTCCTAGCCCCGAGTTTTACCTGTCCCCGTGCCCGCCCATGCTGCCGTCCCCAGCGCCTCACTGCTCGCTCGCTCGCTCTCTCTCCAGGCGTGCCCACGGCCGCGCTGTCCCCTCCCTGACTTATCTTCAGCTTCTTTCCCAGGCTAGGGGCGCCTAGGGGACCATGGGGCCTCCTGCTAGGAGGGGGCCGGCTGAGCTGGCGGGGGCGGGGTGGGGGCAGAGGCGGGAGGCAGCAGGAAGGTGCCTGCAGCCTCCAGGGTCCCCTGCCCTTCAGCCTCCCGGAACTAGGAGTGAAGATCTCAAAGTGTCGGGACCCACCAGCAGGGGCCAGGGGGCGTCCTGTCCAGCCCCTCGCCTCTCGCTGTGCGCTTTAAGCACCTTGCACTACCTGCATTCTGACGGCGGCAGGCAGTGCTGGGAGTGGAAGAATGACATCATCTTGGAATGACATCATCTTGTCAGAAATACCTGCCACTTCCCCAGCCTTGTCTGTCCCTGCAGTGCCAATGCCAAGTGCACACCTGACGTTAACCGCTGAACGCTCAGACAACCCTGGGAAGACGTTAAGGGCATCATCATCCCCTTTGCAAAGACGAGACCGCTGAGGGGCAGAGAGGCCGGGGTGGACACAGGTCTGCCTGCACTCTTAGGTTTCCTCTTTGTGGCCTTGGGTTCATGGCCAGGTTTTGGGAAACCTCCCTTCCTCGCCGGGTCTGTCCGAAGCTAAAGTCTCCATACTTTCCCCAAAAAATCGTTTTATTTGAGAAAGAGAAGTCTTCCTACCCACTGGTTCACTCCCCAAGTGCCCAGGAACCCAGAATGAAATCCAGGTGTCCCACCTGGTGGCCAGGACTTGGCTACTTGAACCCTCACCTGCTGCCTCCCAGGGTGCCCATTAGCCGGAAGCTGCAATCAGGGAGTGGAGCCGGGACTTGAACCCCTGGCTCTCAGATACGGGCTGCAGGTGTCCGGCTTGGAGTCTAAACCACTGTGTTAAATGCTTGCCTTTTCTTTTTGAATCAAAACTTGTAAGGTCTATGACATCCAGTACAGTGTGCAGTCTTACCTGTGTTGCAACGCTGACAAAAACCGTTACTAATAAATAAGCGGCTGTCACTTGCTAGCCTTGACTGTGGGGTCGTCTTTTCTCCGCTGTCTCCCCTGTGATCCACCCCAGGGAGGCAGGCCCTTCCTAAATTCAGGGGAGCAGAGGCCACCTCTGGGGTGGCATCAACCCCACCCCCTGGGCAGGAGAGGTGGTGGGGGGAGGAGTTTCCTGTCCAACTACAGAGAGAAAAAATAGCGCTGGGGACAAGAGGGTGGGCCGGGAGAAGGGGCCCGGCCTGGGTGGAGGGCTGGAGGGGGTGAGATGGGGGGGCCCAGCCCCCTCCCGCCGGCCTGGAGGACATTCCGTCCTGTTCTGTCCCAGCCCTGTTTGTCTTCCTGCCCAGAGGGTGGGGGTGGGCGGGCCTGGCGGAGCAGGGGCCCAGACCGAGGGAAGAGGGAGTGGGAAGAGGAACGGGGGTGGGGCCGGCGCCACCCCAGGCAGCTGGACTCTGTAACTCTCTCTCCCGGGGCAGGGCTGCTACTTCCAGAGAGGGGGCCAGCTGGTGGCGGGAGAGGGACCCCCTCCTCCCAGCTGGGGGCCTGTTCTCGAGACGATGAGATGGGAAGCGTGCTGGGAGCTAGCTGCTCTGGTTCGGGGTCCCAGCTGCCCACTCCGTTGCCTTCGCACAAGTTGCACACCCGCCCGAGCCCGGTCACCTCCAAGGGTTGTTTGGAGGAGGAAGATGACTCCATGGAGGCCAAGGGCTTAGAACACAGAGGCTGGCAACCGGCTGGTGCATTGGAAGGGTTAAAGTTGGGGTTCTCCCCTTGTCCAGGTCAGGGATGGCGAGCTGCGGCTGAGGACCCCCGGGGCACCAGAGTGTCCCGGACAGGTGCAGCGCACCTGTTAGGGCCGTCCCCGTGTCCCTGTGTTCCGAGGAAGCGGGACCAGGTGGCGACAGCATAGCTGGCCTGCTCCCCCATAGAACTCTGACTTGAATATTGGGTGGCCCCCTCCCCGCCCCCCATCTGGTTCCCCCACTGGCTCCTTCGCTTGATCTGGGGTCGGGGAGGGGGAGATAGGACCCCTCTTTTTCAGGATATGAAACGGGGCCTCAGAGAGGTAGTCACGGGCACAAGGCCTCACAGCCAGGAAGCGGCTGAGCTGCGATTTGCTCTCCCGGACCCTGGGGCCTGCGCTGTTAACTGCCGTGCTGTGGTGGGGGCCCCCGCCTGCCTCTGCCTAGTGGCCTCAGCGCCTCCTTCCCCCTTCTCTCCACCCCCCCCACCAGCCTCCAGATCTCCCCAGCTGGCCCCATGCCCAGCCCTGGTCCAGCCCCTTGGCACTCTGCCCAGCTGGAGACGTGCAGCTGGAACCTTGCCACCCTTCCTCCGTGTTCTAGCCCAGAACAGAGGGCGGGGCCGGGAGGCCCCAGGGTGAGGCTTGGGGAAGGGGGGCTAGGGCCTGGCGCCCCTCCAACCAGGAGGGCGAGAAGCCCACCTCTTCCTTGCCCCAAAGCACTTGCCCCAGAGAGCAAAGGGAAGCTGGAAGTGGGAGCCCCTGCCCCCACGTTCGGGGCTGCTCTGGCCTCCTCGCTCCTGGTGCTCAGCTGGGAAGTGGGGGTCTTGGAAAAAGTGTAGAGGATCTGGGGGCTTGGGGAGCTCAGGGTGTGTCTTGGCAGGGACCCCCCTCTTAGCCCCACCCGGAGGTGGCCCGAGGGGCCAGAAGCAGGGTTTGGGTTTGAGAAGGGACTTGGGGTGCGGATCCAAGGGAGTCTCTGTGACCTTGACTTTGCTTCTCCCAAGGACATGGTGGGTTGGTGGGGGCCTGTCCCCACAGCCCTCTTTTCCAGAATTCTCTGCCTTGGGTGGGCTCAGGGCAGTGTGTCCATCACGCACTGCCCAAGAACTCCCTCGCCCCGGGGTGAGGTGGCTGCGGGCCTGAGCTGGGGAATGGGATGGGGGCAAAGGGGCCCGGGGCCCACTCACCATCTCCCAGGCCCCCTCGGGCCCAGGTCCCATCCTGGGGTGCAGGAGCGGACGGAGCGCGGCCAGGATCCGGGTGCGAGTTATGAGCCGCGGCGCGCGGCAGTGGGATGACACCACAGGAAAGGGCTGGCCTTGGGTGGTGAGGGGGGAGCACCCCGGCTCAGCCAGAAGCTCCCCACCCAGCCAGGAGGGGGTGCTGCGAGGGGCGGGGCCGGGGCTGGCCCAGCAGAGGTGGGCTGGAGTTCCCTGGTGGGCTCAGAGCCAGGGATTGGAATAGAATGGGTGAGGGGGAGGCGGGCTGGGGGGTAAAAACAGGGGTGTGTGGAGGGATCCAATCAGACCGGCGAAGCCAGGGAGGAGGGAAGAGGGTGAGGCTTTCAGGATGTCTCAGATTGGACAGGGAAAACCGAGAACCCAAGATGCTTCCTAGGGTCCCAAGGCCAGGCAGGTATCCCTGGCAGTGGTCCCAGAGCTTGGGTTCTCTGGATGCCCACAGAGCTGCACCTGCTGAGAGGTGAACCCCTCTGGCCAGGAGGAGCCCAGCTGAGAATCGCAGCCTGGGGTGCGGAGGAGGTGGGGTGCGCTCCCATCCCCATTTGCAGGGTCAAGGCCACGGCAACCCTCCCCCCACCAAGAGAAAGTGGGGTTGGGGCCCTGCTGTCTCAGCATCAGGGCCTGGCGGTGGTGGAGGGGTGACAGAAGGGCCAGGCTTTGGGAAGTGGCTCCAGCTTCCCCTGGCTGTTCTGGAACCGGGTCCCTTTCCAAAGGACATAACAAAGGTGCCCAGCAGGGGACACCCTCTGCCCACTTCCAGGAGAACCCAGGGTTTGGGAAGCACCTCAGGAAAGGGTCTCTTTCCTCCAGATCCCGCGGGCTCAGTGCTCACCCCCACGGGGCTCCCTATACCTGGGAGAGCACCCCGCACCCCCCAGGATCGCAAGGGTCTGGTGTCGATGACCCATCCCAACTCTAGGGGCTCCGAGGCCGGTGCGGTCCATGGCAGGAGAGAGACGGCGCCCCTCCAGTTCTGTCGGAGCGCGAGCTGCACCCAGAGCCAGGCCGGGGTGCGAACCCGGGGTAACAGGAAATCGGGGGTCAAGACCCCGAAGCGAGAGGGGCGGGGCAGCCAGGGCTTCAGGGGTAGCCTCTTCGGCGGCAGCGGGGCGCCCCCGCACCGCGCCCCGGGACGTCCTTGGTTCGCCGCCGCGCGCCGCCCCACACCCCTCAGCTCAGGGGTCCCCAGAAGGGGAGCCCGCCGATCCCCATCATGCCTGCCCCTGAACCCCAGTACCTTGCGCGCTGCAGCCCCAGCGCCATGGCTCGCCCGTCGCCGCTCCGGAGCCCTCGGCGGCGGCCCCTAGCCCCCTCCCCTGGCCCCGCGAGCCCCCTCCCCAGCTCCGCCCCCGCCGCCTCATTGGTTGCGCGGCGCCCGGCCCGCGGCTCTGAATGGGCGGCGCCTCTGTCACTCTGGGGGGCGGAGGCGCGACTGGAGGCGACTTGGAGTCCCCCGGGTGGGGGGGGGGGGCGCCGGGCGGGACACACCCCCAGCCACGCCCCTCGCCGCGGACTTCCTCGCCCGTGTCGCCCGCCCCCTCCGGCCCGGTCTCAGAAGTTGCAGTGCTAGGCCTTCCCGAAACCCACCCACTTCGCCCTGCTCTCCGGCCTCCAGCCTCCTGCTCTGTCACCCTCCACTGCCCGCCCCAGGGCGCGCCCCTCGACCCCCACGTCCCCAGCCCCGCCTCCTGTGCTCCCTCTGCCTTTGCCCTTGAGATCCCCACCCCCGTTCCACGCGCCCTCGCCCCGGGGGGCCCCCACCCCTCCCTCTCGGTCCCCAGCCCATCCCCCACCTCGCCCCTCTCTTCCCGGCCGGGTGCCCTCTGCAGCCGCCCCCCGCACCCCCCGCAGGCCTCCACCTCCACGCCACCCTGAGCTCTTTGTTTCCTTTAAAAAAAAATTATTTTATTTGAAAGGCAGAGTTACAGAGGAGGAAGGGAAGGAGAGAGAAAGAGAGAGAGAGAGAGAGATCTTCCATCTGCTGGTTCACTCTCCAAATGGTCGCAAGTTGGGCCAAGCTGAAGCCAGGGGCCTGCAGCTCTGCCCAGGTCTGGCACGTGGGTGGCAGGGGCCCGAGCACCTGGGGCATCCTTCAGGACGGCTGGGAGTCCAAAAGCCCCACCACAACCCCCGCCTTGTTCCTATAATCCCCCGTTCAGGTTTCCACGGACGAACACTGAAACTCCTGTCAACTAAACATGTTTAATCCAAAGAGCAGGGGAGAGGCTCAGGCCTCCCAGGATTCTTGACAGCATTGGCTGGAAAGGGACTGGAGTGTGTGGGGGCGGGGCCAGTGCTGATGGACAGCCTGGGGACCAGTATTCCGGATGCACTTTGGGAGGGAAGAGATTCCCCGGCAGAAGTGGTTCTGCCCATCGTGCTACGTTCCAGGCAAGTCCCGGCTCCGGGCCTTTGCACTTGCTGTCGCCTTAGCTTGGAGTGCTCCAGCCCGGCCCCCCAAAACTCACAGTGCACACTGGGTCCCCCCAGCATCCCACTGAGGTCTCATGCATCAGTGCTTTCTGTCTCTCCGACCACTGTGGGTGAGCTGACCTCACGTGGTGACGCTCACACATCTGCAAGCTGGCTCCGCTGGGGTGGCAGAGAGCCGGGAGCTGAAGCCTGATCCTTGGCCTGATGCTGCCTGCAGGGGGCCTCGCTTGGCGCTGTGGCTGGAGCACCCACCTGCGTGTTCCGGGCGGCTGCTTGGGCTTCCTCCTGTCATGGTGGCTGGGTCCCAAGGGCAGCTGGGAGGAGAAAGAGGGAGAGACAGGAGGGGAGGGAGCGAACAGGGAGAAAACACATCTTTCAGTCCAGCCTTGGATTGAAAGTCCAGCGACTTGCACCCGTTCTTTTTCTTTTTTTTTTTTTTTTAAAGATTTGTTTTATTTATTTGAAAGAGTTAGAGCCAGAGCGAGAGAGGTCTTCCATCTGCTGGTTCACTTGCCAAATGGCTGCAACGGCCAGAGCTGCACCGATCCAAAGCTGGGAGCCAGAACCTTCCCCCAGGTCTCCCACGTGGGTGCAGGGGCCCAAGGACTTGGGCCATCTTCCACTGTTTCCCAGGCCACAGCAGAGAGCTGGATTGGAAGTAGAGCAGCCGGGACTCGAACCGGCACCCATATGGGATGCCGGCACTGCAGGTGGGGTTTTATGTTCTTAAATATTTATCTAAAAGGAGAGGGAAACAGCCCAGCCTTGGCCTCTGGATGATAGCGCCAGCTCCCACAGGGAGGGCGGGTGGCCTCTGTGCAGTGCTGCTTGGATACGCCCTGGGGGCTCGGCCTGTGAGCCCCACCAGGCAGGCGGAGCCGCATTCGGCGCTGCTGGGTGTCGGGGAACAAGTGCTTTTCTGTATCGGTGGGGAAACAGAGTTCAGCCACAAAACCCCAGAACCGTGCGCCCCCCACCCCCCATCTTTTAAAGGTCCTGGTTCCTGGTTCCTTGTACAGAGGCTGTGGTCTGTTGGTTTGATGTCTTCTGCTTGTGCTCGGCGCACCAGCGCCCCCTGGAGGAGAGGCCCTGGGTTGCCTCCGAGAGGCCAAGAGGTTCTCTCTCCAGAGCCCTGCGCCATCGGCCCCTCCTGCACCTGCCTCGCTCAGACCTCAGCAGCCGGGGCCATCCTGAGCCGAGCCCGTGTTAGGTCGCTGTCACTGTCGGGGACATCCTGTCGTCCTGGACAGCCGGCTGCTTTTATTCAATCCAATTTCAGGATGTCTCTTAGAAAGGAAAACAGACGTTTGGGGGTTGTCTTAGGAGCCTTTGCTCTCAACTCTGGATTCCTCAGTGGCAGGAGGGCGTGACCCCGGGTGTCGGGAGGGGACCGCACCCCAGCGCTGGCCTCCCGCAGGGACTCTCGGCTCTGATCAGCTACAGGTGCACGGCCTGCCAGCCACAGGATCTGAAAGGGAAGGTCTCTCGGCGGATTCACTCGGTGGCAAAACACAACCCGAGCGCTTACCCACGTCCCAGCCTGGGAAAGTCGGCTCCTGACCCCAGCTTCCTCCTAGCACAGACCCCGGGAGGCGGCTGTGATGGCCCACGTGGGAGATCTGGGTGGAGCTCTTGGCCTTGACCTCAGCCTGGCCCAGCCTCCTAGCCACTGTGAGTATTTTGGGAGAGTGAGCTGGTGGATGGGAGCTTTATCCCCCCCCCCCAAATAATTAAATAAAAATTAACAAGCACAAAAACACCAGGCTGTGTGGATGCAGGTTCCACCCTGAACCACACGGGGGCGCCAGGCATGCGGCTCCACACACGGCCTGGATTTTCCGTGTGTTTTCTGTGTCTCACGTAATGCGCTGAAATGATTTTTAAGTCAGGGATTTTCTACGTGCAGACGGATGCCGCGAGTCGCGTTTCCCCCACAGAAGGAATGCTACCAGCCACTTAGGGTTAATTTTTGTTTTTTCCACGCAAACATTTCTCCATCTATTTATTCAAACATTTGTGTTGTTGTTTAAAATTTAAAACGCTTTTTAAAGAAGATTTATTGATTTGAAAAGTAGAGTCACAGAAAGGCAGAGGCAGAGAGAGAGAGACAGAGAGAGAGAGAGAGGTCTTCCATCCGCTGGTTCACTCCCCAGATGACCGCAATGGCCAGAGCTGCGCTGATCCAAAGCCAGGAGCCAGAAGCTTCATCTGGGTCTCCCATGTGGGTCTCCCATGTGGGTGCACTTGGGTCATCTTCCAGTATTTTTCCAGATGCATTAGCAGGGAGCTGGATTGGAAGTGGAACACCCGGGACTCAAACCAGCACCCATATGGGACGCTGTCGCCTTTCAAATAAATAAATCTTTTAAAATATATTTATTTATTCATTTCAAAGGCAAAGTTACAGGAAAAGAAAGAGATCTTCCATCTGTTGGTTCACTCACCAGATGGCTACAATGAGTGAGGCTGGGCCAGGCCGAAACCAGGAGCCAGGAGCTTCGTCCGGGTCTCCCATGTGGGTGCAGGGGCCCAAGGACTTGGGCCATCTTCTACTGCTTTCCCAGGTGCATAAGCAGGGAGCTGGATCAGAAGAGGAGCAGCTGGGACTGGAACCAGTACTCATACGGGATGCTGGCGCTGCAGGTGGCCGCTTTACAAGGTGCGCCACAGCGCTGGCCCCCGTTGTTTTTAAATGGGTAACCAAATCTCACATTCCCTCAGCTTCAATTTCTATCCCGCGGGCACGGAGAGGCGGCCAGCGACGCGCTAGGCAGCCCCTCCCCGCTGGGGGAGCAGTGGAGCCCCTGATGGTTTGCAACCAGCCGTGGAGGGTTTCTTCACACCGTGGGAGCTGGCCGACGCTCTGCGAGGGGTTGTGTGCTCCCGCGGAGGGCCGTTTCACCAGAGCTCCACTGTTCGCGAGCTCGTATGCACAAGCGGTCTGGGAGACCCCCGCCCAAACCTTTGGGTCCACTGATGAGTGGAAACTGTGAAGCTCTAACCAAGCCTGGAGCGCCCTCTGGCGGTAGAAGTTGGGATGTCTCTGATACTGGGCACACCTACAGTACTCACCTGTGTGCATGTATGTGTGTGTGTGTGTGTGTGTGTGTGCGCAGGCACTTGGAAGTGAAAAATAGCCCACAAATAAAGGCCACGTGGGCTGCATCTCTCAGTGGCTTGATTTCACATGCTAACTTCTCCAATTCCTCGAACGATTGATTATAAGTTAAGAATTGTTCCCACCCGCCCCCAGGAGCCACAGCCCCGCGGGTGGACACCATCGGGTCCCATTCTGAGTGGATCCTTCCAGAATGTGTTTTGCAGGTGACCCTCAACTACCTCAGGCTTGAAGGCCCTAAATGAACCCGGTTACCACCCACGGGGGCGGAGCGAGGGGTCAGGTTCCATCTTGGTGGTGACACGCACGTCTCAAACTTAACCACAGACTTTCACCGCGGTTTGCAGGGCTGGGATTGGTTTGTTTTTCTTCCGCTTGTAACCTCTCCTCCCACTTTTGCATTAGGATAGTTCCCATGAACTTCACTTGTCTCCGAGTGCTCGCCTGCCAAGGACAGGTAGCCGCTGGCCTTGGTTTTTCTTCCAATAATACATTTGTTATGCTCTCCAGACCTTTGTATAATACAGTGCATCTGTGTTTTCCTTTTTTTTTTCAAAATATTTCAGCCTGGCGGTGGAGAAAAAAAAAGAATTGTTATAGAGAGTTTATGTCCTATACTCTAATCCTCAATCTATCCTGAACCAGTCGTGTATCAGAGGATGACACAGAACCTCACCACCTAACCTCTGAAGATTTTAGCGAGTGACCCTTGCAAGCAAGGGCGCCCTCCTCACGTAGCCAGACCCAGGAGCGGGGAA